TATATATATTATATATTTGTTTACCTGTGAGGTGCATGCTGAAGTGATGTGAACGTAACTCTGATTCTCTTGATGACTAGAATATTTTCTTCTTAACTCCTGAAACATGCCCTTTCCCAGATAGAAATAGAAAATAGAATTTTGGAAAACCGAAGGAGCCTAAGGCTAAATTCAACTAGAAATACTAAAAATTGAATAAGAATTAAATTAATTTTCAAAGTTATAATTCTAGGGAATATATACTCAGCAGACTTGGAAGCAATGTAAAAATCATTGATGATGGTGTTTTGGAGCTGCCTTAATAGCCAACCAAACCATTATCTCCAACAGAGACTATGGTGGCCTTGCCATTTGCGTGCTCAGTAAGCTTGCCACACTGGATAGAAGTGAGCTACAAGGGCCGAAGCAATATTCTGTACAATTTCTGTTTGATGCAGGTGAAAAACACATGACTCAGTAACTTGTACAGCAGATGCGTGCGTGAGGGCGTTCTAATACCATGTCACTTCTTAAAGTGTTCTGACGAGGATTCGTTTTTCTAAAACTTATTCTGTGACTAGGTTATTTATGTATGTTAGTAGCTGTTTCAGTACTTAATAGCCCTGATATATATGGTTTTATATATATATATGTTTATAAAAAGAGGTAACTGACCATAAGCTGCTTATTTTTAATTAATTGGAATATTAGATTTGTGTTGCTAATACCAGCCATATCTCTGAATGTGCATGACCACTGCTCCACTGAATTCTAGGACTGTATTAAAAAGCATAAAGTATTACATATATCATAGTAAAAAGTATAAAGTATTGCTTAAAAAGAAACTAAATGAGAAGCAGATTTCAACATGAAGGGGAGGTTTCTGATTTCAAACAGATCTAAGCTCCAGATTCCCACCAATTTCACGTGTGGATTGCAGAAACAGATCACACTTACTGACTTCAGTATTCTTTATGTCAAATATTTCCACTAGCTTCTGTGGACTGGAGCAGCTTTATTGTGGCTGTGAAATGAACCAAATTGAAAAAATATAGAATGCAGATAATTCGTGGAGTATGAGGAGTCTGGGGACAGAGTCAGAATACTGGCAGAGGCACTAGTCTATTAATCTTCCCACCTTTATTGCTTGTACAGCTTTTATTATAATAATAATAATAATGCCTACTCTAATGCTTCCTGGAAATCGCTTTTTCTTCGACTGATTCACTTTGACTATGGATATACTGATCCTGAAGAACAAGGTTCTTCAGAGAGTGTCAAGGAGTCTGGTCTCAGATTAGATACAGTTGATGTTCATTTAAGTATGCACAGTCAGCTTCCAAAGAAATAATTTGCAGCACACTTTTTCAGAATGTTGAAAAAAAAAAATCATAATTTATTGCTGTAACTTAAAATTGTGAAGTAAATGTAAGGTTTTACTCCAAGGAGATGAAGGAGCCCTCAGCCTTAGGCTGACATGCCAGTGATTGCAGTATAGCATTCAGCAGGTGATTTCATGTGCTCCCTACCTGGTTTTCCATGTGGGTAAGGACTAATTTAAATTCTAGTGAGGTCGTGCCTGACTTCATTGAGGTAGGAACTCTGAGATATCCTCTGTTGGAGTAATCCATTAGAAATGACATCATGTCGCTTTTATAAAATATTGCATGTTTGAATCTGGCTGATAGGTCTGTGTTCTTGGGTGGCTCTAAAGGCACATTGCTTGACATTCTCGGCCAGTTTTCCTTTGCAGCTTCTCCAGCTGTCTTTTTTGCTTAATGCTGTGATGCTATTGTAGACCCATAAACACAGAAAACGAAAAAACCAAACAAGTTGCCAAAAACTGTATAGCAGTTGGTATTCAGAGCATTCTTTTACCATTTCAAAACACTGCTAACATAATATCTGTTTCGTTATGTACAAGTGTAAATGCTGCTAACGTAGATAATTTGGAATCTATAATTGAAACCATGCTAGTGCAGCGCTCTCAATTAAAGATAGTCAAGACAGAAAAGCTGTTATGTACTTACCTGCTGGAATTATATGTCATTCTGTGCCATCCTGTTACATTCAAGTGGTGCTAGAATATATTTCAAAAGTAACTTGTCATTTATTGAAAATAGCATTACACCATGAAAAAGCCATGAAGTAAACATTGAGCTTTAACAAATACTGTCAGATTGCATCAGAGGTATCGCTACCATCCAGTGTGTATTAATAGTTGTATTAGTGATACCTTTAAAGTTCTGTGATTGTTAACAGATATTTTCTGTGGTTTTCTGGTCTTTATAGTGTCTGTAAAAATTTTAAAATTATTACAAATATTTTAAAAATAGATTTATCACCGTGTTGTTTGGCAACATGGAACACAAAATCAGACATTGCTATGTACTGTAGCTTGACAGCACTGCTAACTCTTCATGTATCACACTCCATGTTTAAAATACTTGTAGCCTCAGAACCGTCCTGTTTGGCTGAGAACAGAAGGGATTTGCACCATGTTTTAAAGGTTGACTGTTTCATGGACTGGAAGTCAGAGTACTCAACCAGAAAGGATTTGTATCATGTCTTCAATAACACATGCTGAAGAACCACCAGATGATGGGTAGTAACAGCACGAGGGAGAAAGACTTGATAGTCCCTGATTCAGGCGGGGAGAACTTAAAAGGCAGCACACTGAGTTGTACTAACTTTCAAGAGGGAGAAGATGCACGTTAGAGTACAGACACTGTCCTCTAAATCCTTTTCTGTGCATTTCAGTTCTTCTATCAACTCTCTTGTCTATGACCTGGAGTTTATTGGACTACTTTACTATATAAAACAGTGATAATAAAAATTAGCAATTGGTACATTTAGACTGAAGTTACCCCTTCAGTTCACCTTTCTGACAATTTTTTTATAGCCTGGTTGCGTACAAGATGCAGCCGAAAAGAGCACAGGGAGGTTTGTACGTGCTTAATTGACTCTACTGTTACTATATTTGATCAGTAAAGAACATTCACAGAATTAAAGGGTTGGAGGGATTAGAAGATTGCAGGTGCTCCACAGAAAAAGGTTCACAGCTTTTTTACTGCAGATGTAGGGGCCAAATTCTTATTGATTGAAACAGCAGGGGAATTGCATCAGCATAAGAAAGTTACAGTTTGATTTAAAAGGTGATGTTGCCACAGGTGGTCATCATGAATAAAAATACCTGTATTAAAAGCAGTTATCTCATGTGATTTATATTTGCTTTTATTTTATAGGGCCATGGGTCTCTAGGAATAGCAGCATAGATAGTGGAGAAACAGAAGTTGGCCGCAGGGTCACCCAGGAAGTCCCCCCTGGAGTCTTCTGGCGGTCTCAGATCCATATCAACCAGCCACAGTTCCTGAAGTTCAACATATCCTTAGGGAAGGATGCTCTTTTTGGTGTTTATATAAGAAGAGGACTCCCACCATCACATGCCCAGGTACTTTATCAATGTATTTGTTGGCTTTAAATGTCATGTAAATTGTTATACCTGGTGATTTAGGTGTATTATCTGACTCAGACATGGGGCAAGTCTTGCAGTTGGGAAACCCAGTTCTTGATTTCTAACCGGCCTCAGAGATGAAAACTCGGTAACACCGCATTTTTACAGTGGCCTTGTAGTACAGAGCTGAGGGCTGTAAAGATAGTTTTAAAGTCAGTGAGACCAAACTTAAGTATCCTTTTCTTCTAGGTTGTGCAGTAGGCATTTTAATTTCTTTGCTGTGAAAAGATAAAGCCATATTTTCTGTTAAAGAGAGAAAACTTTTTATTACATTGAAAACCCATTAATGTGAATTGAAGGATTCCCATTTACTTAGATTAGAACCGTAATGAGAAATAATGTATTTGCAGTTGCACATACGAGAAGGTAAGAGCCTTCATTCTTTAGAGAGCAAGGGAAGCAGAAATAGCAACCAGGTTTTGGAAAGGACCCCTTCCTTCATGCATATCCTTGCTGCTAAAAATCGGTTCTTCATTCAGAAATTATTACCTAAACTTAAAATGCTTTATTTAGTATATGATTTCCAAAAAGCAGATGTAGAACTCCATGATCTCTTTTGGAAAGGCCCCATTTGACATTTCTAGATGCCTTGCCCTGATTTGCAAAGAACTACTACTATTTTTTTTTTTATTTGGCAAAGCAGAATGCAGTTACATAAATGGTTAAAACGCGTGATCATGCCCAGAGGCTTTAACATAATTGCATTGCTACATATTGCCTGCAAGGAGATAGCAACCCTACGTGAACTGTGTCCATGTGTATGCACAAACTCATGGTACAAACGGTGAACCAATTAATTTACGAGGGAAAACTATGCTTACGTTAACTGAATTTTGGATCTGCTTCCCAATGTAAGGCAAATTTATGGAACTATTCTGCATTGCCTTTTGTTCCTTGGTGTTTATTATTGTCTGTAGTCTGAACTGAGAACCAAAGTGTTTAAACAGAGATGGGAAGAAAGGAGAAAAGAGGTTTACATGATTTTATGACCTCTACTTCTAAGAATTTGTGAACAAGGAGCTTTTGACTACCCAAACTCCATCAAATTCCTGTAGTATGCTCTTTGTAAAATGTTCTGTGAGTTATTGAGTGGATATATCTGACTGGTGAGAAGTAAGGATCAGCAGTCCACAACCCAAGGAGGCGAGGGCAAGTGGTCAGTTTTCCATATAGCTGGAGATTAGCATACAGCATCCCGAAGTTCTGTACAAAGACTAGATGAACTGGAGATGTTTTAGAGGACTGTTGACTAATTTTCCGCCATTGCCAGACATCCATGCAACACAGAAGATATCCACAGAGAATGTGTTCCAGGGTGGGAGCCTTTCCTAAGAATGTTTTGATTTTGGCTGTAACACTTCAATATGTCGTCTTGAGGGGGAAATGATGTCGGTGCATATTTAAGTATTGCAATGAAGTAAAGGCATAATTCATTGAGCATGCCTCATATAATTCAGAATTTTGGCGCTTACTTCCCCTGTCATTCTACCGTGAAAAACACAGCAATTTAGTTGAGGAAAGCAAAGAAAAGTATAAGTTGTGAAGTAGAAATGGCTTAGGGCAACCAGAGCTCCCAAGCAATCATCAAGGTTTGCTATAAATACAAGTTAATTATAATTGTCTAAGACGTGATGGAGGTATGCTTGTATCTTTGACAAGAAAACCAGTTGGATGTAACTGGTAGTACAAAATATTTTTTTTAATTGAAGCTGAACTTTGATTTCTGTTGCACTGCCATCAAATATATTTGTTCTAGATTTCATTATGATGTTGTCATCAGAGAAGGCTATGATCAGGCAAAGTATCTCTTCTTTCTTTCACTCCACCTTACATGGGTAGGAGATAAATTTAGTGACCTTTCTGTATAATAATGAGAAATAGCAACTGTGTTTCCTACTGAGCTGGATTTCTCCTCAGAGAACCTGTTTTCCAGTCTATAGAGGAAGCAATTCCAACCCTCTTCCATAACTGGAAATAATGAAATCCACCAGTATAATCTGCAGAATCACTTTCCCATATTCATGCAGGGTCCTGGTGCTTGTCAGTAGGGTGGTACAGCAGAAGATTGCTTGGCATTTTTGCCCAGCAATCAAAATTCAGCCAAGCTGCTACCAAAAGAAACAATTTTAGAAAAAAAGTCAAGCAGTTACAGAGCTGAGTTAGTGAAAAGAAGCCTTGTTCTGGCAGAAAGGAGCAGAATGGGTTTGCATTAATGAAAATAGTCTGAAGTTGACACCAGACGATATTTTAAAATTGAAATTTAAAATCCTTGTTTCTGCAGGTTAGGGACATGAGCTGTAAAGCAGTGAACAACTACACTTGACAGTTCATCACTGATCAGTGCTGATATGTCAAGCCGAGTAAAATCCTTTGTGGGAGCAAGTCAATAATCAGCAAATTAGGAACATGATTAACCTGAGACAACAAGATGCAGTTCCTCTCTGAGAGCCCTGCTGAGATTTAACCTTCTCAGTATTACTGTTTAGCAAATATTCCAAATGCCTGGTTTAGTCAGTCAAACTGATGTAGCTGTAAACTTGTCTGGAAGCAGCCTTGCGTGCCATGCGCATAGGGAATGGAGCTCCGGAGGAGAGGGAAAGATGTGGTTTTGAGCAGCAAGCAGGCTAGAAACGAGAATGCATTGCTTTCAAGCAAAAATCTTCCCACCTGTGTAGTACTAAGTAGAAATAACAAAATAGACATTGCAGGCTTGAATGATCAATAGGAAATTAGCAGAAGATAGTCATTTTAATAAAATTGATAATGTACAGAAAATGATCTGTAAACGTCAAATAATGCATGAAGTGACTCTACAGAGATTACAGCAATTATGATGCTACGACGTGTTGGTAGAACGTTCCAAATGATGCATGAAATAAGGTAACCTTATAGAAACAGCACTGTAATGTCTGGAGAAGGCAGTGCATGGAGTTGTATTGTTTTCATTTCCAGCAGAGTGTTTTATACTGACAAATTTTTCATGTCAAAATGCAAACTCTTTTCATTTAGAACAGGAGGCTGCTTTATTTGAAACAACTTGCATAGCTGGGGAGCTTCAGTGTTACCTTGGGTTTTAGCCAGTACTCAAACATATTTAGGTGCTTTGACCACCTTAAGGTTATCAGGCAGCCGTGCTGTCACTGCTGCGTGCTGTGCTGCATTGTGCTGGCTGTGTGGTGTCACATTCAAATGTTGAAACAAATCAGTTGGCAGTCACTGTGGGTATCAGATGTTTCATGAGTGTATTTTAATTAATAATTACCAACTGGATTTTATGAAGAACCAATTTTAAAGCACTTTGCAAACAAGTTTCCCTGACATATGTTTTCCTGGCTGCTTAGGTCTTACAGGGCTTTGGCATAAAGGCAAATGCTAGCCACAGTGCCAAACCTGT